TAGAACGTTTGGTGACGTCACATAACTGCCAAATTCAAACTGCGTTTTCTCGCTTTGGCTGACGCTGAGACGCCGCTGCACTTGTCATATAATCACAACTATGCAGTGTTTTTAACCACATAATGTTTATTTTAGGTTTCAGACATTTAAATACATATAAGTACTAGTAAAACAATACATTTAAAGTTCGTAAAATACACACGGATGTTTTTGGAAGCAACAATAACAATCCATCCGCTTTATTAATATCAGATACACATAGTGTAAGTAACTATAAAGTTCACTCTATTCTTCTCCCAGTTCACCGGCCACTTATTTGCATGTATTTCGGGAGAAATTGATGAATTCACGTGCTGTAAATCCGACTGATAGGACTCTCTGACTATAAAGTTCACTCTATTCTTCTCCCAGTTCACCGGCCACTTATTTGCATGTATTTCGGGAGAAATTGATGAATTCACGTGCTGTAAATCCGACTGACAGGACTCTCTGAACTGCAGCGCGAACAAACATGGCTGCGCCCATCTCACGTTACAGTTCACGATCAAGATCATTTAGAAAGGTTTTCAAACGACAAAACACACTCATTTACACATATTTGTGAATCGGAATATCAGATTGTTCATGAAATGGTAAGAAAGTTTATGAATATTTTGAATAAAAACTGAAAAACTAAATAAAAGCGATCCATCTGTCATACAGTGTTATTGTGGGCGCGGTGTATCACGTGACAAGCATGACACGTTGCCATGGAAACAGTAAGGGGAAACGTTCTAAAATAACGGTCGCCTAGAAAAAACTCACTCTGGGGGAACCACTAGAAATAGAATATTTTAAACTCGCCACTGAAAAGGTTAATAAAGCTTGCATTTGGATCTCTTTTGTCATGCCCAGTCCGTTACAGTTACAGTGCTGTGAACTACAGCAAGGGTGGTTTTTTTGTTTAGATTGTCACATTTCATTAAATGATTATTGCTTGACTTTGCTTTCTTGGCAAAAAATCAATAAAAAAAAAACCTCAACAACGCTTTCTAGTGTGAACTGATTTTATGCCAAAATTAAGGGTTTACTGTGTTTGCCCAACAGGAAAAAGCTAACATTTTAAATGAAACTAAATGAATCTTGGAAGGTTGATCTAATATCATAATTCTTCCCACAGATAAAACATGTGAATAGTGTTTCTTAACTGGCCAGCAGGGGTGCTCATACCTGCAGTGCCTTCACTTCATCCTGATGAGATGATGCTCTAGAGCAGGGGAGTCAAACTCAATTCCTGGAGGGCCGGAGCCCTGCAGAGTTTTGTTCCAACCCTGCTCCAACACACATATATAGTTTTCAAATAAGCCTGAAGGACTTGATTAGTTGGATCAGGTTTGTTTAATTAGTGTTGAATCTAAACTCTTCAGGGCTCCTGGCAGCCCTCCAGGAATTGAGTTTGACACCCCTGTTCTAGATATAGAGACATCACTAAGGTGCGTTTCTGTGCCTGATCAGGAGAGAGAGAGAACAGATGCTGTTGGTCTTACATAGAACACATCCAGCTTTGCCAGCCATAGGCCCATGTTCTGCTCTATTAATTCATCTATTGATTATTAACAAGTCATGCAGTCACCAAGTCTGTAATTTTCCCAATATGTAGCTTCACTGTTTGTTAGGGCTTGGCATCATTTCATGTAAGATCTATGTGTACAATTTTACTTTTTTTCATGTTTTGAATAACAATCTGATCAAGACCTTTAATAACCTTTACTGACTTTTGGATTAATATGCAATGGTATGGAATTTTGATGTGTGTGATGGCAATGTACTGATTATGGCAATTTGCACTTTTTGGAGAAAAACCTTGGACTTAAAAGTTAGTAAATTAATGGGAAAAAAACGTGTTTTTTTATGCTTGTTTAATGACCCATAAACAATTACTACACATGCACCTGTGGAATAGTCTTTAAGACACTAACAGTTTATAGATTGTAGGCAGTAACTAGGGACATTGAAGAGAGGGGAAACAAAGACGTTGAATGTGAGAGGACATGTTTTGGTTATTGGTTCCATGAAGAACCTGCAACATCCATGGAAACTTTTCATTCCACAAAAGGTTCTTTAGATTATTTAAATATTCTTCACACTAAGAAAATGGTTATTTAAGGACTGTTCACTAAAAGGTTCTTATGCCACCCTTTTGCAATCTTTATTTTTAAGAGAGCAAGAGCATTAATTTATCATTAGTTCAGAGACACATAAATAAAAATGAATGTCTACCAATGATTGACGATGTCCCAAAAGTGATAAAAAGAGGATTAACTTGCAGAAAGTCCAGTAAAGACAGAGAGGTCAGTGATGTCAAACTGTCTGCCAGTTCTGAGCTGTATATCTAGTTTGAAAAAGTGAGGCAGGGAAGAAAAATGGAATATAATGTCAATTAATGATATATGCCAATATGCCAAACCGTTAAATATAAATATATATGCCAAAAATATATGCCAAACCGTTTTTTTAAGGATCCGATAATAGTCATTTTAGTCAAGAAATTTGTCTTATCAGCCTTTAAACACAAACAGAATGAACACGATAGCTTGAGGTGTTGTTCCTTGGCATGTTGCAACCAATTGTGGTTAAAAAAAAACCCTGCCCAACCATAGCAATGAGGTATCGAGTGACACCCTGTTCACAGCAAACCCAATTTTTCATAATTGCAATTTAATTAGACCTTCGATACGGTATTTATTGTATTGGAATGTCTTTGCGTTTAACAGAACAATCTAATATTGGTATTTCCCTGTAGAGTCATTGCTGGTGTATGTCAAAAAGTTTATCATCTGGTTCATTTGAGACAATAGGAATTTAGTCTGGCCGCCTCAGGCCCTGCACTCTGCTCCTGTCTTCATTCATTTGTTCAGTTCCTCTCACTCATTCACTCTCTCTTAACCCGTCCCTCCCATCCAGCCCTCATGACACTAGTGAATCTACAGTGTGGCTTTGTGGCTGCAGATGAATCTATTGACATTCTGTCTTGTCATAAAAGGCCTTTTGCTATTGTTGTATTGTGTATTAAGTCCTTAAAAGTTTTTCAGGATGCTTTTGTTACATATCTATTTAGTTGTAGCTTTTACTGCAGCTCGGGCATGTGCAACTACATGCCCCTTTTGTTTTGCAATACTAACAATATGCCATAAGAGACAGGTAATCAATGGCTCGATTTTTTTCCTCACAACAGGTCATGCCTGTACTTGAGTTTAGTTGAGTTCAGTACACATAAGATGCATTTGTCAATCTGTGGGGATTAGTTTTGGGTCCCCTGCCCGTGTCCAGCATGGGGGAGGAGACCCACGTGAGCCAGGAGTTGTGTTTGGTGTCTGTTTCTTCATGTATCTGTTGAATTTGTTGATAGAGTCATGCGGGTTTGTTTGTTCAGCAGGCCCTTGCCTGCTCTGGCACTCTCAGAAGTGGCATGTACACACAAGCTGTAACCTTGCCTGGCACACATGCTAAGATTTCATTCTGGCCTGCAGGCGAAACTAAAAACTAACTTTTTTTGAAAAAAAAAGGAGTATTTTTATTTTCCTCAAAATAGATGAATTTAGTGGTTTAGTGGTTAATTTAGAATGTTACCAAAGTTTGTGTTCTATTAAAATGTAATGTGTTCCATTAAAATGATAATTTATGCAAAGCTTGATTTGTTGTTGGGTAATATTTAAAGACTTCTGCACTTAATAACAAATAAATAAATAAAAATGTATAAATATAAGCACAAAAATATTTCTTTTGAAAACAAAGTGTAAAGCTTTGAAAGAAATGAATACTTTTATTCAGCAAGGATACATCAAATTCGTCAGTAGAGACATTTCCAATGATAAAATATATATAAGCAATTGTGAAAAATGATGACAATCATGCCAAAATCATTGTTGACCTAACACATATTTATTTTTGAACATCACTGCTAAAAAAATATTTATTTTTTCCAAAACATTGCTTTATCTCATTATTTTTTCAAACCTGCATTTCAGCACTTTACATTTGTATTTACATTTGTATTTAAGCCCATAATTACATTTTTTAATCTATTCAAATAGAAACCAGTTATTTTAAATTGCAATAATATTGTTATATTCCCTGTAATATTGTGTATGTTGTATAAAATGTGTGTGTGTGTGCTAATATTCTATTTTCTATATTGTCTATTTTAACGTTATGTATGTTGTGTATTATATATATTTTAGCAATTTTGTAAATGCTGACAATCATGCCAAAAACTTTGTTGATAATACATTTTTGAACTTCAAAATTTTTGAACATCACTATAAAAAATTAATTACTTCATTACTAAATCTTGCCTTGTCTCATTATTTTTCAAAACTGCATTTTCAGCCTATAGATCACTAATATGAACCCACAGCATCTTCAAAGGGCGAGCCGTAACATTCGATCCCAGAGGCTGTTTTGTGGTATTTGCCCTCCTAGTAAAGCACACAGAGCAGTGCGGTGTCTCTGCAGATGAGTGTGTGACCTGACTCACCTCTGCCCTCTTTATGCTACTCCCCAGCGATGCTCCAGGTGAAAGATGACAGAGGATAAGACTCTTTTCATCCTTCATTGTCACGCTCGACACCTAAACATAAAACCTAAAGTAACTGAACTTGTAAATTTGGATGTTCGAGTTGCCTGAAGCAAAGCTGTACTTGTTTAATCGCTTCCTCTTTTCTTTAAGTCACAACTTTCAAAAATAAAATAAGCTTGGTGTAGTGTAAGTGATTTTAACATTGCATATTGTCTAGAACGAGGGGTTAGACAACACTTCTAAAGGTCAAGACCTTATTTCCTCATCTGATAGTCCTCAACAGCTCTAGTTTGTGCTGGTAAAAACACTTTTCCCCACAGTACTTCAGAAAACGTTTCATGTACTCAAACATTCGTAGAAAGAGGCCTAATGAAAAGTGCTTCTTTGCATTGAGCCCACACTGTAGTTTGCATTAGCGAATGCTGTCATGCATTAACCGTTGGCACTATGTGGTATCTCACGGACATTGTCTTTGTTTCTCAATTTAGAAGGAAGATCTGTCTTTGCACACAAGGCTGAAGTAAGTATTTTTAGCTCTTTGTCTTTTCCCTCATTAATATGCCTTTTGGAGAGGCTGTTTCAAATATTGATGAGCCGAGAACTTTGAAGATGCTTCAAGAAATCTTGTATGAGTCAGCTGTATTTTTGAGATTTAGAGTTGAAGGGATAACATGATAAAAAATTACAAGCAGATGTATTTTGTTATTGTTATAAATAAAAAGCTGTTCCTTGTTTTTGTTGCTGAGATGTGTGATTGTTTGTGTAATAATAGAAAGAACTAAGCTGAGAAAAGGAACATGATGAGCTTCATGGCTTAAGTGGTCAATGAAGCTCAAAGTATGTGCAGGTGTTTCCTTTAAACACTAATAAATTGACTAGCGTGGCAGTTTCACATGGGTTACATCGATTCTCAGCAATCTAATTTTGAACTCCGATTTTAAAAACTGCACCGAGAAAGAAACTACATTTATTTACTGCAGTAAAGTAAATATAAATCATATTTGGAATGTAGTTAAACTGCCTCTGCTTTTTAATTATATAATGTATATTTATCAACAGATCAAGTCATGTATGGGTGCCTATAGACACCAAGTATAAAAGAGAAATTAGAAAAAAAAAATTGTTTCATAGGCGTGTATTAAAAAAGTGTTCAAATAAAATAGATTTCAGTTTGGTGATCTCCAAGATGCAAAAAAAAAAATGTAATGGTGTGGTTTAGTTGTAAAAGTATTGTTGATTTGCTTTTGTCCACAGTAATTAGTTTTTTAAACAGCCATGCATTAAGAAAAACTGTGAAAATAAAAAATAAAATAAAATATCAGATTTCAATATGGTGAACTCCAACATGTACAACAATTTATTGGTGTTTTAGGTGTAAAATTCTTGTCGATTTGTTTTTGTCCACAATACTTTGTTTTTTAATTATTAACTTATTTGTTCCACAGCCGTGCATTAACAAAAACAGTGAAAATAAAATTAAATAAAACAAAATATTTACAGTTTGGTGATCTCCAAGATGTAAAACAAAACAAAATAAATAAATAAAATAACAGATTTCAGTTTGGTGATCTAAACACTTTATGCAAAACACTTTATTGGTGTGTTTTAGTTGTAAAATTATTGTTGATCAGTTATTTTGCTCCTGCTCATCAAAAGAAATTGATTGTACAGGTGTGCCACTGGGATATGACAATTTGTTTCCAATCTATTCTCTGCTTGTTTCGTTGGATAAAGCTGTTATGTACATATACTTTGTAACTTTCATAAGATATGTTAAACTGAAACTTTTACATTGTGGTAAACTGGTGGTACTAAATGAATGTGAACTTCAGCTTCCCTTTGTGGTGACATCACTTGAAACTGCATGCTGTTGCTTTTATAAGGCAGTCCACTCAAGCACCCACTGTACAATTATGAGATGATCTCAGGAAGTAAATAGAAAAGGTTTTTGACTAGATACTATAAGAGTTTAGAGTATAAGACTGTGCACATGGGAAAATGTAAGTACAATTTCCGAATATCAATACAATATTTAGATTTGCACATTTCACGCATTATGTTGCAGTATGCAAATGTAAGATACTTATTTATTTACGAAATGCACTGCAAAAATCTGATGCATCAAAATATATATTTTAAGACGGAGCACAAATATGCAAAACCTACCAAGCTCCTATTACATTATACAGACGGAAACCAATTGATTTTTGCTGTTGTGCCATGTTATCTGTTCTGATAAGTGGCGTGATTAATTAATAGCTTAGTGTTTGCCTTTTCATCACCAGTAGAATTCAGGCTGATATTTGCATGTTTTATGATTTGACAATATCAATTTTGTTTAGCTTTATGGTTGTACTGGTGCCTGCATTTTTTTCATTACAATGCAGTATGGAATGTAGCGGTTGCTATCAAGATGGGTAACAGATACGTTAATACAGAGGCCTAGTCTTTGGCTATTTGACAGAAACTCTAAATGTTCCTTTTGGGGTCATCTATTCAAATATATTAAATATATCTTGAAGTATCAGTGTGATACTGCAATGTTATATATTTAAGCATGTCATATTGTATAACATTTCAGACTTGATAACGCTCTTCAGTTGTTTATTTTTTTTCTTTCATCGTTCATGAAAAAAGTTCCAATACTTTCTACACATTTAAATGTGATTAAATGAAATGAATTATGGTAAAGTTCTCTGACTGATGTAAAGATACTTTTGCTGCTGCTTTTTATTATTATTGTATTTTTCAAATGGACCCCCAAAATAAAAACATGTTACTTGAATGTATACCAGTCACATTTCAGAAAAGTGCCTATAAATATATATATATATATATATATATTTGGGGGGGGTTTGAATCAGGGTTATTATTGTTAACTAAAACTGAAACTAAAACCATTTTAAAAATTACAATACGTGAAATAAACTTAACTGAAATAAAACTCATTTAACTAAATAAAAATATTTACTAGAAATGTACTAAAAATTGACTATATTCACTAAAACTTTCTAATTAAAATCTAAAGCTAAAATATAATTAAAAAATATTAAAGGTGACATATCATGAAAATCTGACTTTTCCAGGTTTTAAGTGCTATAATCAGATCCTGGTGCATCTACCAACCAAGGAAACGTGAAAAAGATTAACCCAGTAACTTTGTTTTGGGAAGCCTTTTTCTGCAAGCGTCTGAGCAAACAGTGCGTCTGATTTCTCTCCCTTGGTGATGTGGCAAAGGGATCTCAATATAATATCACCGCCCCTTAATCTGTAAACTTCCACTCAAGGCACCGTCATTTTGATTTCGCAAGCGACAACGGTGTACCAGTTCTAATGCCATGCAGGCCCGAAAAACAGCGTGTTTCTGCTTCCACTCAAAATAGGCATTTTCAAAATTATATAATAAATGATCTGTGGAGTATTTTGAGCTGAAACTTCACAGACACATTCTGGGGACACCAGAGACTTATATTACATATTGTAAAAAGGGGCATAGTATGTCACCTTTAAGAAAAACATCTCAATGATACTAAAATAACATGGGTTACAATATGTTAGGTGGACTAACTAACTAAATAAATATGGTTCTTTTGTAATTTCACATGCGCATCCTTGGGGTTTCTGGAATTTTATCCATAAACAGCAACTCAATTATAAGAATTCAGTCATGGCTGTTCCTTCCCACATAACTTATGAAGCGAAAGTGGATAGAAGTCAGAGGTGATGTTTGAGGTCATCATATTTATTGCCAATAAGTCCTGCTAGATAGATGGTTATTACTACTGATAGACCTCTATGGAAACATGCGTACCATTTCAGAAACCAGGCATCCTGTGGAGTGGCTTAATCTTGATATGCAAAACCCTTCAATTACCCTCCTTCTGAAAGAAAATAATTCACAGCTGCATAGCTTCCTCTTTTTCAACTTTTAAAATAATGCTGTGCTTGTATTGCACAACTGTAGATGCCTCTTTGCTCTCCCTGTAATATTTACAGTGACTGTTCATCTGTGAATGTTGAAAACTGAAAAAGAAATGCATAAATTACAAATCCCAAACAATGTCCATTCTATGAGAGAACAGTGCCTTACTGAAAGGAATTTTTATTGTTTGCACAATGACAATGTAGTAGACATTTATTAAAGAAAAAATACCTGATGGTTGTTTTGTTAAGGTTATGGAGAGTTACAGGTGGTTGGTTGCCAGCCTGTTCTAACAGAGACAAATGTGTGTGGTGAATCTATGATGAATGGCACAGAACAGGTACATTACTGATTCATTATTTGGTGATTAAACATTGAGACTTTAGCCTTAAGAAGTAACAGTTGTGAGGGAATGGGGTGTGGAGAGTGTGAGAGACTTTTTACACAAACAACGTTTAGCAAACAGCTCAAGCCATATCCCATTTTCACATTAAAGGACCACGATGAAGTTTGTCTGACTCACAAAATGACTGAATAATGAATCACAAATCATGACTTGAGTGACTCAGTTATAAACTGACCAAATATACTTGGGGTGCAGAAATAAAACCGCTAGAGTTTTGTTGAGGATTTTTCTAATACATTTTCAACAATTTTTTGTGTGTTTTTTGAAAGGATGTATGAGGACAGTTATATATCACCAAACAATCACACCTCCTTAAGCACACAGTGTGCACTGCAGGCAGCTTTCTTCAGAATTCACTGTTGGCCAGCAGCTGTGTCTGTGCAGATGCACACAACTATACATATATATATCATGATGCACTGTACTGTATTTATTGCCTCTTCATGGACATGCTGACATGAGCTTAAAGTCATAGCAATTCTGTTTAAATGTTATTTTAATGGAGAAGAATGTGAAAATTCTGCAGTAAAAATCCTGTTAACTGGCTCACTGAATTAGTTACTTTGTGTGCTGTGTAAAAAAAAAAGGTTAACACTTTACAATAAAGTTCAATTCATTAACTTTATTTAGTGCATTAGGAATCATGACCTAACAATGCTTTTTTACTGATTAATCTAGGCAATGTTATTTTATAAACTATTGTTCATTGTTAAGTCATATTTGTTCACAATACATTAATTTAACATTAATTTAATGTAACATTTTAACTTGAAATGTATCAGTGTATATAGAGATGGATGTTAACCAAATTATAAGAAAAGCTTTAAAAAGTAAGAAAAATCATTGTTCATGTTAACTATTATACAAACAAATTGAACTTTATTGGATAGTGTAATTAGAAAAATTAAGAACATTTTAATGTAAAATTTTATTTGACACCACATTTTGATTTGTGATGAAAAATTACTTTCCCACATACCCTTGTGTAATGCATCACAACTGATAATATTTTATTTGCATATTGTGTTTATTTAAATTTGTGTTATATGCACACTACCTTTCAAAATTCAGGTTAAGATTTTTTTTTGTATATATATAAATAATATTTTTATTCAGCAAGGACATATTAAATTGATCAGAGGTGACAGGAAAGTCATTTATAAAGTTTTCAATTTCAAATAAATCTTTTTCTTTTGAAAGGAATCCTGGAAAAAACGTATCACAGTTTTTTTATGACAGTTATTTTAAATTGTATTATTTCACAATATTAGTGTTTTTAATCAAATGAGTCCAGCCTTGGTGAGTGTAAGAGACTTCTTTCCAAAATATTTTTAAATTCTAACTGATCCCAAACTTTTAATAGGTTGTATACATTGGGGTGTTTATGTTACATGTAATTCAAATTAAATCAGTTATTTACTTCATTATTGTAGTGTTTTGTGTAAATATATGTGCCATTTATGAACTATAGTTTATGGATAAGACCTTTTTTTTTGTCCGTCAGGTCATCCTGCAGCCTTCTATTTTACATCTCTTTTATAACATGTTCATCGGCAGATTTTAAAGTTCAAATCAGATTCAAGTAATTTCAGTAGAATAATATATTAACATTATATAAGTTAATGATATATACTGTTATGAACTGTAAAATGTACCACCTCCCACAATGCCTTAAACACCATATTGTTTTACATAAAATGTATGACAACCACAGCTGTTAGTAATTTACCGTAAATGTATCAATATGGAGAGGCTTGAAACAGATCTTGGATGTTATTTTTCTGACTATGACTTATATAGCTGTCCAGAAAACAGTATTACTCATACTTCCTTGGAAATTTCACATGGAGATTATAAAATAAGAAAAGCATTCAAATTTGCTCAGGGGGTTCAACATGACAATTTTGCAGCTGTGTAGTTCTCATAAAATCTGCTAGAGCCATGTAACACTATCATATGTAGCATATGAGGACACAAGCAAGTGGATATTTAATGAAAAACGGTCATTAAACGTATAGTTATATCTGACAAGCTGCTTTATTTGAATAGATTAGGAAGTGGGATTTGTATAATTATATCTGCAAATAAGCTGATTTCAGTATCACTCAGGCTTACTAGGTCCACACTAGGTTCACCAATGGCTGAAATTGTTCAAGAAACCGAGTTTGAGTGATTATTTCTTGCAGCAGCTTTACACAAAGATTACACAATACAAAAAAGACGAAAAGTCCAAATAAAAGAGGTATCTGATGAGTGACTGAAACTTTCAACACTTTCAGCCACACCTTGTTTAACTTGGCACCAGCAAACAAATCCGTATGTCTCAAAGGATCTTTAAAGTGCATTAGAAGCAATGTTTTGTACACTTTTCATGAGGTGTGCTCATATCTGCTGTGTTTTTTCTTTGTACAGCACTGTCAGAGTCATCTGCATCAAAGCCGTACCAAGGAGTGAGAGTCAAAGACCCAGTGAAGGAGCTGCTGCGAAGAAAAAGAGGAAATGCTGCCAGAACGACACTCCCCACCGCAGTAGGAACTAGAGCACACATGTGTGCACACACATACTCAATAAGACTTATGCTTTTGATTGTGAAAACTCTCCCTTAACATGATCTCATTTGTTATTCATTCAAGTCCTAGCTTTTCTTTTTTCTTTTTCTTCATCTAATCCATCCAATGCACTATGTTGATATCCAAATATGAGACTGAAAAAGTTTACTTATGAAAGAAAAGAGGACCTTGGACTTTAAAGATGACTAATTGTTTGGTTGGTGTCACTTAAGGAATAGTCCCCCCCCTCCCCCCCCCAAAAAAAAATGTTGCTCCAAACCTGTAGGAGTTTCTTCTATGGAACACAAAATAATACATTTTGAAGAATGATGAATGATCAAACAATTCAATTCAATTCAATTCAAGTTTATTTGTATAGCGCTTTTCACGATACAAATCGTTGCAAAGCAACTTTACAGCAAATTAGGTTTCTACAATATTTAGAGGTAGTTTATCAGTGGTGACGGTCAGTCAATGTACATATGGCAGAAATGTACGGAAAAATCAATTAAAGACATAATCAAACAGACGATAAAAACTATTAACAGTAATTATTATATGATTCAATCAAACGTATAGCAAAATGTGGTAGTTCTGTATGTTGTTTCAGGGTTGGCATCATCTGAGGTCAGGAGCTAACCCATTAAGGGCCTTATAGGCAAGTAATAGTATTTTGTAACTGATACGGAACTTAATAGGTAACCAGTGCAGAGACTATAAAATCGGGGTAATATGATCATATATTCTTGATTTGGTAAGGACTCTAGCCGCTGCATTTTGGACTACCTGTAGCTTGTTTATTGAAGATGCAGAACAACCACCTAGCAGTGCATTACATTTTGTAACATGGGAAATATGATTTTCAAAAGACAGGCTGCTATCTAATATAACACCCAGATTTTTGACTGTAGAGGAAGTAATAGTACATCCGTCTAGTTGCAAATTATAATCCAAGAGATTCTATGTACTATTTTTTGGTCCAATAAGTAATATCTCTGTCTTATACGAATTTAATAGGAGAAAATTATTTTACATTTTTAACACACTCTGTTAGCCTAGATAATTTAGAAGTTTCATCTGGTCTTGTTGAGATATATAGTTGATTATTATCAGCATAACAGTGGAAACTAATCCCGTATTTTCTAATAATATTACCAAGGGGCAAGATGTATATTGAAAATAGTAGAGGACCTAGGACAGATCCTTGTGGCAATCCATATTTTACTGGTGATAATTGAGATGACTCCCCATTTAAATGAACAAAGTGGTAGCGATCGGACAGGTAGGATCTAAACCATCTTAAAGCCTGCCCTTGAATACCTGTATAGTTTTGTAATTGATCTATGAGTATGTCATGATCTATAGTGTCGAACGCAGCACTAAGATCAAGTAAAATAG